GATCTGACCCCTTTGCTGGATGTTTGAGCTAGCATTGGTGAAAAATTGAATCCTTCCATGCAGCAGACTTCACATTTGCACAATAAGTAACCTGGGAGGCTTTGCACAAACTAGATACACAGATAGAAGGGCTGGGTGGTTTTAAGCATCCATCATTACTCTTCCTCATATGCCTTTATCCCAGTCCCACAAACGCTTATTAGACTGCACAAACACTTGATAGACCCCATTTTGTTCTGAAGTATAATTCCTTTTGAAGCCCCATTTCCAGGCTCTCTGTTCCCCCAACATCATCTCTCTGCCTCCCAACTGTGAGCCTACCTGCAGCCGTCACGTTACACTCCTGACTGACAACCCACCAGTGTCCACACCATGTGCACATGCGGCTGACACTCTGGTTCACATTAATGGCTGTAATGCATTTCTACATGAGAAAGCAAGATGGTCACAGCCCCCTGTAAAGACTGAACACAAGCCTCTACAGAGGACTTCCCAACTGCTTCTCCTGAATTACCTGTGTTTCTTGTTCTTCTGACACTTCCACCTCTCCTGAGGGCTAGTTTGGGTAGTGAAAAAGGGTTTTCTGCTTGATTCAAGACAGATTTCCTGCCTGGACAAGGCATTCCCCTCACTCATCTAAACCATTATCCCACCACGCTCACTGCTGGGTTGACAGAGGGTGAACCCATGTCACTCAGAAGGGAAAGCATGGGTGGAAGTCTGTACCAAACATGGATGGGCAAGAATGATAGAGAAATGCTATATTGGTTACACAGGCAGACACCTTCCCGCACACTGAAGTTACCGCTTGCAGCAGCTTCTCAGGGGCAGAGTACGCACAGCAACCAGGTTTTCAAACTAGAAAGTCCAGTTTGCTGGGCATCCAGCACTGGAGTTTGAGATGCATATCCCTCCACCGGCCTCTGGTCCTCCAGATCTCTGCACTGGTTTCCCCAGCACGCCTGCCCTGCAGACAAGGGTTATGTGACTCTTTCCATTCTGGAAATCCAAGAGACTGGAAGGTAAAATTCATTCCATGACCCCTTTTTAGCCCTAAGGAACCAAGTCCTGCTTCCCAAATTAACTGCATGTTTGAAGACCAGCTGTTTACCTGTGCATTCTTCAGTTGTCTGCCCTGCCTCAGACGTCTGTATGACCTCGGCTGGCCCTGTAGCCATGATATAATCACTGAAATAAAGAAAGAATAGGCAGTTAATTATCAGTCAGTTCCCCTGATAACATTAGAGACAGATTAATATTTCAGCCAGCGAGGAAACAGCATTGTTCAACACACTTCTGAAACAACAGAGTAGATGCTAATGACAAACAGGGTTTGCTCAGATATTTTGCACTTCAACCACAAGCTCACCCTTGATTTTCATTAACACGCCTTTCCCCAGCCAAAACCAACAAGTCAGTGTTGCTTCTCCGTAGAAGTCAGGATCAAAGTTTGCTTTAAAGGAAATCAGCCATTAAACATACTCAGTGAACAGTGCAATACTTTCCAGTTGCAGAGTAACAAATCTCTGTGATGGCTAGTGCCGAGAGAACCACAGCTCCATGCTACCATGGAGCATGCCTCTCCTGTCCTGTAGTGTCCTCCCCAGACCAGGCACTGGGTTATCCTGTCAGTAATATAAAAATGAATTAAGCATCAGCACTGAACCAGCACGCTGGCCACATGACAGCCGAGCTGTGCCAATAGATCAAATTTGTTTTGGACTCAGTACAATCAGCTTTTAGCCATAAGCTCCGAAGCCCTATTGCAAACAGGGCGTATTGATCAATTGAGCTAGCCACATCAACTTCCCTCTGGATTAAAACAAAAGATGATGTTAGTGTTTAAAATCATACAAAGATGACAGGCTCTACTTTGTATTTTTCAATGCACGTCTTTCAGAGAGAAAAGAAAGGCACAACAGGCCATCAGAGTTGCAGGACAAACCTTGCAATGACAGAAATATAAGAATGTGTCAGGACGGTTCAAAAAATATTATCTATAGTTGTGGAAGATAAGTGACATATTCAGAATGTCATACATAAAACTAGAACTTCTGGTTCCAAAATGAGATCAACTGGGAAATCGCAAGAAAACTGTCCTTTTCTGCAAGCTTTCAGGATCAAAGTCCCTTTGTCAGGCTCTGGGAAAAGTATAGATGGTACAAGATGGTAAAAAGTTCCCACAAGTAGGAAATAAACTTCATTTTTGCACAGAGGGAGCTGAAGATGGAAAGGCTGTCCCTCTGGGTCCAAAAAGACACTCAGGGACCCAGAGGGACAGCCTTCCATTTTCAGCTCCCTCTGTGCAAAAATGAAGTTTATTTCCTACCTATAGGAACTTTTTACCACCTTGTACCACCTATACTTTTCCCAGAGCCTGGCGAAGGGACATTGATCCCGAAAGCTTGCAGAAAAGGACAGTTTTCTTGCGATTTCCCTGTTGGTCTAATAAAAGATATCATTTTGGAACCAAGAGTTCTAGTTTTTTGTATGTCTTCTTGTCTCAGACCAACACGGCTACCAAGTACGCCCCTGACATACGCAGAATGTGACATTTCACTACGCTGCGGTAGACCATAAGGAATAACAGCTATATCAACAAATAGCACCCAGACTAACCCCCCTCCCACTGATTTCAGTTAGGTCTGCATATAGCAATTCGCTACCTCAGTGTCCTACCAGTAGTCATTAGCTAGGACTCTCAGTTGTCACATGAAATGAGGATTTTACCCCCACTTTACAGCTGAACAAAACTAACACAGTTTAGCCCCAAAGAGACAGAGACGCAGTATCATAGCCTGAAGAAGTCAATGGAAAAGGCTTACACTGAAGCCTGGATTGAATCAAACCTTCTCTAAATACAGATGTTTTAAGGACAACTTCAAACTATTGTTAGACAGCCACAAAAACTGGATGGTAATGTACAGTTAGGTTGGCATGATTTCCCACAGGGGCATTATGCCTTTCAATGCCTCTCTTCATTTTCTTTTATGTCTCATCAAGGTCTCTCTTCTGCAAAGTCTGCATTTCCTATGTATTCTGATTAAAGTGGTGATCGTAGGCAATCTCACGGATACACTCTCGAGGATTAAAGAAGATTTGTTTCGTTTCTCCCTGAACTTCCTATACAGTGAACATTTGTGACATTAGCCTTTTTTTCCCCTAAAAGAAAATGTGTTCAAAATGATGCTTCAGGACAGTGTTCAATAAACTAAAATAGATAACACTTGCAGGTCCACAACTCTCACAATTTATTCCACAAAACAGGCCTGATCCTGGACTCATTTATATAAAAAACACCTGCTTCAAACCACTGGGAATTAAAACAGTCAGGGCCGACTCCGATTCCCCGTGTAGCTTTTCTTAGTTTTCGCCTGTTATGAGCTTCTATAATCACGTTAGAATCGTATTCCCTCTCTAAGAATCTTGCTAGACCTTGGATAAATCTCGACTGTTATGTGGCTAAATTTAAGTATAAAAAAATCCACCCACTGGAATTAACATAAGGCCATCACCGCAGTGCAAAACAGGGTGCAGGCAGCAACTTTAGCCAATCAGTCCTCTTTTACAGCAGAGCTGATTAAGGCCTACAGAGGTCAAGGGAGTCATTCCAGAGTCTATGAGGTTTCTGTGAATATGGTCCATCGAGAACTTCCCAGCATTAAATCACACGGCCATCAATTTCCAGGGTATTAAACAGTGATGGGGAACTAAAGGGGAACCATAATGGATTTTTCCAAGCTGTAAATGAGCAAATATTCAAATCCAAAAGCAATGAGCTTGGCCAGAAAAATATTTGTTGATATATATTCACAGACTCAGCATTTGAGAGACTGGTTCAAGACAGGTTTACAGTCCCCTAGCTTCAGTTTAAATGCCCCATGCTTTAGAGAGAGCCACTCTCAAAGGCTGTATGTGATGTAGGCTGGTGTGCAGGTGCCTCTCATTGTGATGTGGAGAGAGAACATGTCAGGCTGCCGATGGAAATGCGTGCGAGTGCACAGGCATGAACCAACTGATCCTTCAGTCCTTCATTGTTCCCACAGCGTAACAAGAGCCGACAGGCACAGTGCTGCAGCCAGCGTACCAATACAGCACATGCACCATCTCCAGTCACTCCAGCAGCTGTGATGACTCTGAACAACCCACACAGTAGGCTCAAGCCAGCAAAGGAGAGGGAATCACCCCCATCCACTGCAGGTGCTGACCACTGCTGCCCTTTCAACACAACTCCAACATTTTCCGAGCCACATGACACTGAGGACAGCGAGAAGCTGGAAGGCCCAGGGAGCAATGCGGAGTCTGTGCTGGGGAGCGCTCTGGAGCACTGCAGCAGGCAAACAGAACCAATGGGCGAGTCTTCACCAAGGGACGAACCAGGATGGGTAGAGGCTGGGAATAAGAAATCCTCCTCCCCCACCAGGACTGAGGGGTAGAGCCAGCGAGATGCCACTAAGGGCTCAGGCTCACACCTGCACGATGGCTGCTGCGTGCCCTGTGCCTTCTCTGTAGGGGTGGTGACTATCTCAGCAAACCATGTTTGTCATTAGCATCTGCTCTGTTGTTTCAAGAAGGGTGTTCAACAATGCCCTGTTTCTTCACCGGCTCGTGGTGCCAAGACCCACCAGTCCTGGCACTGAGCCTTCCCCAGCTGGGCCCAGAGCCCCTCCCTGCTATGTATGGGCTTGCTGAGAGGCTCCAGGGTGCACTGAATGTACAGGACCCATCTCAAGGTCCCTCAGAAACCAGCTACAGCCTGCACCATGGCAGTAGGATGGCTCCTTGGTGACCTGGCCCCTCAGTACCACTGGGGAGAATGGGAAGGATTCAAGCTCTCTGCCCAGAGTTTGAGGAGAACTGTGTTCTCCTCTCCCTGCTACGTACAATCAGCTCAGGACTGCGGGCCAAGCAGTTACACCTACGAAGAATGACTTGCCTCCACTGCAAACAGCAGCATGGTTTCCTGCAGAGCTGCAAGCATGAGCACGCAACTGGTTGTACTGGTTGCAATCTGCGGCTGGAGTTTGGAGTGCAGGGCTGCAGTGGGGAGGTATTTTAACCCAACAGAGCTCTGAAGGTGGCCGAGGAGTCCAATTCGTGCTCTGTAAGTTTTTTCACAGATATGACAAGTGGTGCCATGGGGAGGGGCACAACTATTTGCCAGGATGTTGTGCACTTTCCTTCCTCCTCTGCCATTTCTCGGCTTCCTGAGCAAGACAATTCTCTTTGAAGTGGGCTGTAGCTTGATGTATGGTGCAGCGCCATTGAGACCTGTTACCAGCCAACACTTCTCAATTTATAGTGTTGATGCCACCCCTTGGTACGGGCAATGCCACCCTGAAGGGTATACTTTCAGGGTGCCCTTGTAGCACTTCCTCTGTGGGTCCTCTTATCGTGACTAAATTGAGAGAGGAGGACTTGCTTTGAGACACAAGTGTCAACTATCCGTACACAGTGGCCAGCAGAGTTGACATTTCATGATCTGTGCATCAATGCTGGTTATGTTAGCTGCAGAAAGGATGCTGGCATCGGTGCAGTGGCCTTCCCATCTAATGCAAAGGGTCTTCCTGAGGCAATGCTGAGGGAACCATTCTAGGTGTCCACAGAGGAGCATGGGGATCACCTCTGCATTGTAGACCAGGTTCTTAGTTTCCATCTGCAGATCTCGGCTAGCAAAGACAGTGAAGCAGCTTTCTAAAGGATACCTGGCACAGTGAATCCTATGTTCGATTTCTACATCAAAACTGACTGACTGGGAGAGGTGACTGCCAAAGTATGGGAAATGCTCAACGTTTTCCAGTGGTTCTCTACCAATGGTAATTTGTGGAAGGAGAGGGGGTACAACTTGTGCTGGGGCAGGCTGATGGAGCACTTTCGTCTTCCCAGCATTAAGGCAGAGTCCCAGGCTATGATAGGCACCTGAGAAAAAAAGCCCAGGGTGGACTGCAGATCAGTCTCAGTGTGCACAAGGATAACACAGTCGTCAGCATACTGAGGGTCGGTGATGCCAGTCTTAGTAACTTTTGTTTTGCTGTGAAAGTGCTGCAGATTGAAAAGCTGACCGTCCATTTGATACTCAACCTCATTTCCAGGAGGAAGGCAGTCACGGATGAGAATCAAAATCACAGCAAGATAGATGGAAAAAAGGGTTGGAGCAGTGACACAGCCCTGCTTGACACCAGTACAGA